CCCTGTCCTGGCCTCAACCACCTCCACCAGTGCAATAGATGGCATGGGCCCCCCAGCTCTACTATTCCAGTTTTGGATAGGTCTTCATCAGAGATTTGCCATGATCAGCAGCACAACAATTTTTAGAAACAGCTGTGACAGGCCAGCCTGCCTCCCTGCACTGAACTGCCCAATGGATGACATCCAGTCTTTGTTGTGGTGATACTACTTCACTTAGAGATTGAGATGAGATTTTCAATGGTAATGGTCAGAAACTGAGGTTTGGATCTTTTGCAGAAAAAAGCACACATGTTGATCTACCTACTTGCCATCTCCATTTGCCAACTATATTATAAAATCCTAGTTAAATTACTGAAAAAATAATATCTCTCTGTAATTTAATAAAAAAATAAGCCTGACAAACAAAAGCAAGGGATTTATCTATTACTGGCTTGATCAATAATATGTAACCTGGTTTCTGGAAACATTACTTCAAGATATGCTTTTGACTTATCTGCTCCTATGTCCTTTAGCATCACAGTATGAGTACTACAATAAACCGTTCCATGATAACAAAATGTATAGATTTACTGTTCTGGCTGACCTTGGATTTATATATGTAATAAAATAATAACCAGTAACTCTTGACAAATCTATTAAGATGAGTTAGGCATCAGCCTGTGTATTTAAAGACACAGTGCTCTATTATTATGAATTGTCAACGTTTTCCCTTATCTGTTCCAGTGCCCATCACAAATGAGACACCAAGCCTCTCACTGAGTTCTGTAATCTTAACTCCGGCCCAGAAGGATGTTCCCTACCTTTTGGTTTTCACAGCATCTTGTGCTACTTTTGTCAGTTTGGAAGAACTGCTTTGTTGTCAAGCAGAAACAGTTTCTGTTAAGTATGCATTCTGCTACAACTCCTCCTAGGGTGAGTACTGCTAAAGACAAGGTGTGTTATCGAAATGTATTTCTAGTGTTAACAACAAAACTGACATTACTTCTCACATTTTGTTGTCAGAGTTAAAAGCAGGATGGATAGAAGGATAAGTTTAGTATGTGCCATGTCTTGTGCATACATTGGTACTACAACTGTTTACCCATTTAGGAGGACACTTTTGTGCCATATGGCTTTATTTCCAATTGTACGCACTATATTTATCTGGTTAACCTGAAGACTTAAAAATGCCAGAGTCTGGCTGTCTCTCCAAATTCTCTTTCTTTGTTGAGACCATGAAAAAAGGAATTAGAAATAAGACTATGGTAGACTTATGTATCTCATTGCTATTTTACAACAAAAAAGCAATATTCCTATATAATTACAAATCTTAGAATAGAAGGGGATAAACATGCAACTATAATATTTTTAAAGATTAAATTTTTTAATTGGTACTTAAATCCCATTTTCACATCAATTTTAATATGGTGTAAAATGGATAGTAGCACCCAGTTTCACATCATTTATAACCACATTTTATAAGCTTCTAAGTAACAACAAGTCCTTGGATAGTCTGATAGGGGCCACTTGAAAGACCTTTAGCACACAAAAGCCCTTTCCACAACTCTTACAGTGTATGGGTGAGGGAGGTCACGCTGAGGGCAAATTTAAGATGGCTGCAATTTACTCCTATTCTAAGGTCCCTTTATGTTACTAAAGTGATGTAAATGTTTAAGTCAGAAGCACATTAAAATTACCAAATGAAAGGGGCTAATCTCCAAAAGCTCCCTGCCCGATTTTTTTTTGGTACAGAGACGAGTTTTTAAGCTGCCATAACTGAAAGGCAGAAATTGTCCTTAGCAAGAACCAGTTTCTAGTGCCATTAAGGCCTACAGAAGAAATCTACTAAAATCCCTTGTTGAGCTTCATCTTTTTCTCTCCCATCTGCTGAAAACTGTATAATATATTACACACCGTCTAAGAAATTTTCTTCTTCCTAACAGGATTTAAACTCTTTACTTTTATAAAATATTAAGAACAGGATATGTTATGAACTATTAAGCAAAATACATTAATATTTCAGGATAATATACATGAAAGGAAATAAATCAGAACAATGCTTCAATGTTATGAAAGCCAAATGAGAAAATCGAAGCAATTTTTGTTGATATGCTTACACTGACCAGGATCATCACACTGACATACCTCCTGTACTCCCTTTCACACATAAATCAATCAATCCAAACACACACTTCTGTCAATATGATAACAGAAGTTCAGCTCTTTGGTCAGTCTTAGTGTGATTGTCTGGCTCTACAGTAAGGCTTTTAATAATTGAAATGCATACATGTGCCACGTTGCAGGGTCATCTGCTGAGGATGAGGTGCAAACAAACAAGGAAAGGGGTAAGTTAGGAAAGAATAAAATACACAGACTGACTTCATGCAGAGTGTTTGGCTAAGAAGCAACAAGAATGAAAACATACTACTCAACAGCAGCTTTTACTTAGTAAACTCAGTATTAAAGTATTAGTGACTAACTAATTTGAAAAAGTATAGCAGATGTAGATAGTGGCATTGCATATAACAAGGAAAATACTGTATTCTACCCTTTTCATGCAATTAAAGACTGCTTAAAATCTCTTTGAAGTCCATTTCTGATGGCTGAGATTGATATGAGCTTAACAATTGGAAGAAGAGAAAGGAAGAAACCTAAGGAATGTACTTAGAGAGTTTTTGCATTTTGCCCTGTGCTTTATTCTTTAATGTTGTGAAGCTGCTCTTGTTAACTTGAGCCCCCATTCAGAAAAGCACTTAGTCACGTGCCAAAATTTCATTGATTTCAATGGGACTTCAGCTTTGGCTTAAGTGTTTCACTGAATTATATATTATTTTTTACTTTCCCTTACTTCTTTATGAACTTAACAATTCAGAGAAATGTTAAGTGTAAGGTAAACTGCTAAGTGTAAGGTAAACTGCTGAGTTTAGGCAGGTGACATAATATCTATCTGGAAACCTCACTGTAATTTAATGAAAACAATTGATAAACTCTTAACTATGCATAATGATGTGAATTGCAGTAATAATAAAGCTTTATTTTCCCAAATAGTTTACAAAAACGAAGGATGGAACCAGAAGGCATCATTATTGCTTGAACTCTCTGTGATCTACACCAATGGAAGGGTAGAGCAGAGCAAGTAATTGGACAGTATAAATAATCTAATTTTTCATCCAGACATGTTACAAATTAACTGCAAATTTATACATTGCATAGGAAAAGTTACATGATTTTTGATGAGTTATCACAACATATACTCATTCTTGTTACATTTTGACAAAATATAAAGAAACTGATCTGTACACATGCATTCGTATTAGTTGCCGTTCCATTTGCACTGCATTTTTTAATGCCATTAATTCATCTGCAGCTATTCTCAGTTGTTTAAGGAGCTCCTAAATTTCAAAGGCTCTTAAGCGCCTTTAACGTACACTTACCTAGATGTACATCAGAGGAGAATGAGGAGTGAACTGAAAGACTTCAGTGTCTGTCAGGATTGTAACTTCCAGCTTGAACTACTCTCAAATTTTGGGTGAAGAATGACGAATTTTTCTTCCTGAAATCCTTTGCTCATTCTCATCTGCCACACTTAATTTCTGTGTTTGTTAGGAGAAACAAGGCTTTTGTGGAACTATCTATTTAATTACCTTTTCTTCTTTTGAACCCTATTCTGGCTTAAAGATATTGTGACTGCGCTTGGGTCTCATTTCTCATGCCATGCTTCCTTGTCCTGTGGTCAAAAAGATGATACCAGTGAATACTGACAGAAATTAGGTATCTTAAGGAAGAGGTGTGAGGTGCATCTCCAGAGATCAGGGTAAACCCATTGGAACAGAGATAAAAACAAGGATCATAACTAGGTCTGTAAAATACATGGTCAGATTTAATCAGTATGGTTCGTCAAAAAAGAAAAAAGAATAATTTTGAGCAAATGTGCAAGGCAGTAAATGTGAACATTTTATTTCCAAAAGTTTTTGACAAGAGCTTGTCTGGAAAAGAAGCAAAGAATGGTCACAGGTCAAAATTGTGTTTCTGAACCAGAAATAAAAGAGTAAGGTGAAATAGTTGGCTCCTGCCATGGAAACAGTAACTGTCAAAGAATCTCAGTATCCCATAGAAAGTCACATAATGTTCCATTAAGGTTTTTCAAAGAAAGTGAAAAATTTGCAGGTGACTTTTCCCCCCCACTGCTACATATAAGAGGGCTGTGGAAATGTAGGAGTCATTGGAGCCCAGACATACAGCTTAAGGAATAAATCAAATATTTTCATGGATAACAAGAATAACTGGTCATAATGATGGTTTCAGTCACAAGGACTTTATGAAGCAGTGTGTGAAACGTTAGCCTTAAAACCGTTTTACTTCTTATATTTGAAATATATATATTGAAATTCCTTGAGTTAGACTTATGGTAAACTAATACGTTATAAGAAAACTATTTTCAAGGTAAACTGAAACACAATTATATTTTAAATTCTTTTACTCTGTACATTTTTCTAGTGTTAAAAGCCATACACAGCAGAGAAACTTATAAAGGACAATGTTTAATATCAGTCTAATGAAATACAAAACATTTTCACTATGACCGCAAATTAAATTTTTTAGTACAGTGTTCTTTTAATCCAGTTCAGTTCCTCGATCTTACTTTTCACACAGCTCTACCAGCAGTTGTGCCAGCACAACAGAAGGGATGGCACAGGGTGGGAACAGCAGCCGGGGGAGGGGGAAGCAGGAAAGAAGGGGTCAGAATTGGATAAACTAACCTTGCTGCTTAAGAAATGTGTCCATTATCAACATCAACACATACAGGTAGTGCTGTTCCCCTTTACTGCAGGTGTTTATAGGAATACAGCTAAATGTGACAGTGTACAGCTGCAAACCCAGGTCTAAATCAGTGAACTTAAGTAACTAGCTAACATGGTATTTTTAATATATTATATAAACACACATAAACAAAGTAAACTGGAAGAGCTTATCAGCAGGAAAACACTCTTACCAGTATTAGTCAACAGATTGAATGAGGTTCAGCTTTGAGCAAAAGACACATCTCTTGAAGGAGGAGATGGAGAGCTGAGAAAACTGTCATCTTCAGTAGATTCAACAGCTGACAATGATTCATAATACTCATCCTCTCCATCCAGTACCTTGATTTGGCTTGAAAGCAAACAAACAACACTCCTTAAGTTAAAATCTAACTCTGCTAATATCTTCAATAATAAAAACTACTTTGTGGATGTAAAAATGAAAAGCTCTAGTATAAGAATGGAAAAAAAAAAAGATGGGATGATTTGATGAGAAAGATACAGCTTTTATACATATTCCAACTGCTATCACATTTTATGATTGTATTTTGAATGGTTCTGAGGATCAGGGAAATGCAATATCATCTTTCAGTTTGGGAGCATAGAATGATAGAACAACTATTTGCATCAAATGGGCATTTAATTTGAGCAATGTGGTGCTTTTTTTGTCTGTGTACATTCCACAAGTAGGATATGATTTTGGTATCATATTTCAGATGATGGTTTGCTGTGAATATGAGCCAAAGACTATATCATAAATTTTTAGGAAAAGCCCTATTGACAGCAAGGGGCTTTCATTTTCCTGTGATGTATGATGAGCACTGCAGTCTCATGTTAGTGTTTTTATTCCCAGAATACAAACTTTTTTAAACTAGGGGAGGGAGTGAAAATAATTCCTGCACAGTCATGCAAAATTCTGGGCTTTAACCTTGATTCAAAGACCTCCTGTTCATACAGTTACATTCAGAGATTAATAAAAACCAGAGGAAAAAATACAGAAGGTTCTGGTAAATTTTTGGACTAAATGTGTTTGCAAGACCAAGCACCCATCAGTTCTCTCCAGTCCATGTGATCAGACAAGGGAACACTTTTGGCAAATATATATATATATATAAAAATATATATTATATTATATATAGTATAGGAGCCAGCCTAGTTTCTTCTACCTATACCAGGTGGTAACTGCTCATGTAGCAATGAGAACTGACTCAGTTCAACAGAGAAGGAGCAACTCCCTTTTGTACTGAGTGGCCTCTCTGTCAGCTCCTCACATGTGCTCCCCCCAGGAAGACAGAGGCCCACTGCGAGTGTGCTGCTGTGGGGCTGGCAGGGCTTCTGGCACTGTTTGAGGCCACAGGCCTTCAGTTCTAACACCCTTCATCTGGCACCTTTCACTAGTGTGAAACACACTTAAAAATATGAACAATGCTATTATTTTGGTAGTAATAGTACACAGAGAAAGCTGGGGAAGAAGCTGCATATTTTGTAAGAATAAGTTCTAGTGTCTGCAGATAGCAGTACATGCAAGTTTTACATTTGCTTCTGCAGAAAATGCCCAATGTCAATGCATAGAAATATGTTAATTGTTTATTTTTAGAAACCTCTCTAGAAAGTTTTGCATATTCTGTAATATCACAAAGGACTTCTTCTGTTTACAGTTGCTTAGAACTAAGAAGATAGATATTTACCCAAGTTTTCTTGGCTTCCTCTTGCTCCCTTGATATTCTAGAGTTCCCTGTGGAGAGGGCCAAGAACATACAGTCAAAGCAAAGCAGCAAGTCGTTAATTTTTAATTCAAAGTGATTTTGTGTTGAATGCAAGCAGATGCTGATAATATCAGAAGTCACAGCATAATTTTTTTGATCAAAGGGCTCAAGTGAGACTGATGAAGCATGCATCTTGCTCGTCTTTGATAAACCACATCAATTATTCACCGTGAAGGCAGACATCCTGACATGAAAGCAACAGATAAAGAGCATAAGCACATGTTCAAGACGAGAGCAGAAGAACGTGGGGGTGGGGCTGGAGGGGCTGAAACAGGTATTAATAACAGAATTATTAACTGGAAACAAAGCCAGTAAAACAGCTTTATTGCCACTTTGAACTCACATTTAACTGGTTATAGTACATGTTATCCTCAGGGCTATTCAGCATTTTGGGCTGCTGACATCGTCGACGAGGTGTTCTCAGCTTCTGTTCAAGACAGTTTTCTGAACCTACAGTAAGATAACACAATTTAGTTTTAAGCTGTGCCAGGTGCTGTGAATGTCTTAGCACATTTTAGTCTGTAAACAGTCTTTTCTTCTGTCCTATTTGGTCCTGGATTTATTAGCAAGTCTGTTCTATCCAAAGTAAGCAAACAGAAACTTGGGAATCTTTGCTTTCTCTTTTGGAACTTAGTTCAAACACAAGTTTTTATGCAGAACTTAATTTTCACTTTTTAACATTTTTTATTCTTCCATATATCTATATCACACAATTCCTTATTCCTTTCACACTTTTTCTTAATATCTTCTGTTATCTAAGCAGGAAATGAGGTATATTGTGACTAGCTAGGAACATATCATTCAGCAACAACAAAATAGTTTTTCTACTGAAGATAGCAATAAAGTCTCTTGACTGATGAGACAGTCTATTATAGTCATTTTCTTTATATAAAAAGGCCACCTTCTTGACATGGCTCTCTGTTTAATCAGATTAACTGAATCTGGAAGTTTGGAATTATGCTTTCTTCATATAATTTGTGGTGTGCTGAAAAAATCCAGTTGCTTAAAGTCATCTGGAAAGAAGAATATAAAAATGAATGAAGTATTTCAGAATGGTTTCTGAAAAGAACTAACAGCTTGCTAAGTTTTTTAGTTTGTTTGTTTTTGGGGTATTTTGTTTTTGTTTGTTTGTTTGTTTTTAGAGAAAAGACATTATGGTGTGCTATATTTTATTTTAACAGGTATTTTCCATGGTATATATTTTGGATTACAAGGTAACTATTTTCAGAATAAGTAAGTTCCTACAAGATACTCTGGGGTTAAGAAAAGGTGATTTATTTTCAAATGATTCTCCCAATGCCTTTGACTTTTCTCATATCTCCCTGTTAAAAATTATTTTAGTGACAGTATGAATAAAAACAGGGTTTGGCAGCACCGAAGAAAAAAATATCCATCCTACACATTTGCATTCCATACTGCACAAGGAACTTGCTCATATACAAAAGGCCAGCACAAAGATCAAGTAGCACGAGTTCCTTCAAACACTTCAAAACTGAAGTTAATATGGCTTTTGCAGATGCGGGGCTCTAATCTCACAAATCCATTGACATGATGTGGCCTTAAGGAGCAGGTAACATTACAAAAGAGGTTTATTATGCACTCAGGCTTATAGTTTGTGCCTGCAATCTGAACGAGGTAGAGGAGATGTCTGAACTTTGGCCTTTTCAGCCAAAAGACTGGTCTGAGAGATTTTCCCTCTTTCAGTTTCTTCCACTCAACAATAAAATTTAAAAAAATATTAATTTCCTCTCAGTGTGTGACTACAATGTCTGCATGGGAGAGGAGCACTTGTTCCATTCCATCACAACATCTGGGACGGGTGGTGGGTTAAATGACCACCAGGGAACTGATTGCAGAGCTGGGTCTAAAATTCAAACCTAATTTTATAGAGAAAGGTTATATTTATCCACTAATACAAAAAAACTTAAAAATAATTCACTCATGCTGCTTAGTAATTTAATACCTAATGCTTCAATACTTAATACTTTCAAATTAAGTAAACCTTTGTATTTTTGCTAAAGAGACTGTGATGGCTAATCCAGAACCTTTGCTACTTGCCTGTATTGTATACAACCAGACAAAGCAGAAGCTGTACCAGAAAATACTTCTGAGGAAATTGGGTGCCCAAATAATATCTGTTTCTTTGAAAGTTTTTTTCACAATGATTCAGATAGGATAAAAACGCAATTTTGCTCTCCCTGAAGTCTGAAAATGTTGCAAAAGACTTGTCATTAACTACATTCTAGTCTCTGCTCTGAAAGTTACTCAAATTGATCTTAGAGCTTTCTCAGGACAGCAGGGTCTGCAATTTTTGCAAGCAATATTTTCAGTCACAAGGCCATTTGAGTTTTTTCTTACAGCAGTAAGTATATTGAATACCCTTCCATGAATTTATTTTTATTCTAGAAAGAGAACTCAGGTACTCACTGTTTTGCATAATTTCACACACCTCTCTGCAGCTTGCCAGAGGTAAAAACACAGCCCACAAATATTTAGAAATTTTTTAAACAGTACAATAATATCATGGGGTAGGTTTTTTTTTCCTTTCCCCTAAGTGCTCTTGAGGCCTTCACTTTTATTTCTTTTTCAAAACACACATATATATATGTAGGCTGGGTTTTTTAATGTATTTTATTTATTAGGATTCTGAGTCACTAATATTTTGCTCTACCTTTTTATCCTCACAGTTAATTATTTCTGTGTATCCTACGGGTGGTCTGCAGCTTGTATTCTCCGAAGGAAATACCCTTTCAGTGGGCCCATTTGTCTTAGTTGCACACTACATGAACAGTACAAAATCTGGTAACATTTATCATAAACTACCATATCTGGAGAAAATGGTATTAACATGTGCTCAACACTCAGCAGTTGAATAGGCATTTTAAATGCTGTTCTAAAATATTTTGCTCTGATGACAAACTGAAAGCCACCAATATGAAAAAAATCACTTGCCATTTAATAGCAATAGTAGCAGCACCGGTATCATTAACAAAGTATTGTCTATACTGCACAGAAATTGTGCAAATTTAGAGACAATACGAGAGGGTGAGCACATGCACTTTCTTCAGGCTGTCCTTTAGCACCGGTTTTTAAGAAAGAGATCTGTCCCTCTTTTGTCTGGAAGAAAACCTTTTCTTGTAACTCTGAGCACAGAAATTATTTAGGTTACAAATTCTTATTTGATAAATCCCTTACTGCAGGGCAGAAATAACAGAGAGTAGGCAAAATGCTTTCTGCCAAGTGCACTATGTCAGCTGATCTAAGTGCAGAGTAGCTGAGGTTCTGGGCATCCTCCTCTCACTTGAGCTCAGAGAGGCTGGCATGTGGATGAGCAGGCTCATGTGGATGCTTCCCTAAAGACATCACAGAATTTATGTGGCTTATGGTAAAGGGAACTAGAAACTGGCTACTGGATCATTCTGTTGGAGTAGAAAGCAATTTTAAGTACAGAAACTGATGGTGTTGTTTCTGTTTAGTCCTCTATTACCACTGTTGGTTATCCTTTTTATTTCTTTGATACGTAAGAGCCCAAGCCAAAAAACAGGACTTGCAGAGCTCAGACAGATTGAAAAGATATCTTTTTTCCAAGTAAATGTGAAGTCAAACATTCAAGATACATTTTTATGAACTGGGAATTACATAGTTGGAAAGCAGTGTCTCCAGGAGAGACTTGGGAACTACAAATATTCAGCTGAATATGAAACAGACAGGGTGCAAAGAAAAGAAAACTGCTCAACAGAAACAGAAAAACAGTTTTATCGTTGTGTACAGAATTAAAATGGATGCAATAAAGGGCAGAATGTTTTGAGAACAGGAACAATTTGAACTCTGAAAAATCTGCCACATGGCAAGAAATATAAGAAGACTGTTCTACTTCATTCTTTTCAAAAGAAGGTGAAGAGGTGATCTGAAGCAAGTGTAAACCCCTGTATAGAAGGTGGAGGGTTTTTCACATTAGAAAACAGGAATCTAGACTAACTAATGGTCAGAAGAATATTTTAGACCAGAAGTACAGCATATACTGAAAGCTATCAATTAGGAAAAAAAATATTTAGCAGTATGATGGAAACTCAGGTTGAAGCTTTTAGAAAGGCATGTTTTGACTTAAGCAAAATTTAAAAACTATTGAAGAGATGTGACACAGATCACACCTAGCTTAACAAGAATGAATTTATCTAATGTGATTTTTATCAGAAGTTTCAGTCTGCAGAATATCTGTATTGATCTTTTAAATGCTGAGATATAGTTTCTGAATTTCCACATGGTTCTTTGTTTTCTTATGGCTGAAATGGAAATGTTTTTCTTCAATTAGCCATTCTATCCATTATACTGACATTTCTAAAGACATCTCTTGACTTGGAGACAATTAATACATTTCCTATATCTTATTTACAAGATTTTTCTGTTTAAAAATCCATCCTTTCCATAAGCTGCAAAGGACTCTTTCAGAAATGCACAAATTGCTAAACAGTAAGATTTTACAAAAGACTTCAAACTCCTCTTTAGCTCTGATACATGGGCTTTTGCATCTAGGATTTGGGCCACCCTGATACTTTCGAAACAGTAGTGGCAAAAAACATTTTTCTAATGACTCCCCATGGGGCAGATGACTTGATACTCAGTGAAAATCTCATCTTGAATGTCCTTATTGTCCTGATTATCTTAGTATTGAAAGCATGGGTACCAGGCACTGGGCAGCCATGTCAGAGTAACAGAATAATCAGATTTTGCTTGCTGAAATGAAGTTAGGCTCTCCATAAACTCTAAATGACTAAACTCTTGCTTCAAAAACCTCTTGATGCTGATAATCTTGCCAAACATTGCTAATTTTTCCTTTATGGAGAATTCTACACAGAAATGGTCAGGAAGCAGCTTAACTGCATTTGGAACATGTAAAATAAAGCAATGTGAATCCGATTGTTTTAAGGGTGGTGTAGCACACCTGGGGCTCTAAACACTGACATTTTTTTTTTTTGCAAGGAATGCACACAAGGGCTCTTTGCCAATGCTTCAGTGCCCCAAAGAGGCTGTGCTGCCAGTTCCCTTGCTGAAGGGACTTCATCCATCACAACACATACTGAAGAGTGGAGCTGAGTACACCCATTTTCCTTCTGAAGCCATTTGCCCAAAGTATGTTTGGGAGGGGTTAGTCTTGTCTCCTTTTCTGCTATAGGTGAACACAAACCTAGTATCACAGGACATTTTTCTAATTACTCAAACAAGGAGGTTTAGCGTTTGAGAAGAGGCAGTTTGTTAAAGAAAGGGTAATGAGGCCATTTAAGGAACCATATATATTATTTACAGAGTAAGCAAATAAAGTAGAGAAATCACTATGACCAAGAAAAATAGTAAGCATGTAGCTGATTTCCAATCTATAATATCAGACGAAACATGAAAGTGCAACCCTTAATTATAAGCAAATATTAGCACAGACTCATGGGATCTCATCA